TCTCTTTTCCTTTCCTCTTATATTACTGAAATTTGGGATTGAGGGATAGAGAGAGACGTAGAGAGAATTCTCAATTCTTTGCAACAACATCCAATCCAAACAAACAATGTCTTTTGAAAACCAAAATTCGAATTCAAAGCTTTCAAGTTTTTTAATGGTTGTCAATGGTGGAGGGGTTACAGATTTTCGGTGGTTTTAGAAGAGGAAATCGTGGGTGATTGAAGAGGAAATCGTGGGTGTGGTTTGATACGTGAGTGAGGTAGTGGGATTTGGAGAGAGAAACTTGGGGGAGTTGGAATATACGGTTGAGTAAAATTAGGAGACTAATTAATACCATTAAAATCCTAAAATAGTACATAAATGGTAATTAGGTATATAGAAGGCAATTATATTAAAAGTTAAGCATAGAGGGTAATATAGTTTACTATATGGCATAGGACTGTAAAAATTTCTTTTAGTATTAATATATATATGATCATCCTATTAAGCAAATAATAATAATAATAATAATAATAATAATAATAATAATAATAATAATAATAATAATAATAATAATGTGACCAATTCATTTTAGGTAAAGAAGTATGATCAGATAAACTCTTAAAAAGGAAGAAAAACTTTAAAAGCACAAAAAATATAAAATATAAAATATGAAATCGAAAAACTTATTAGTGTTATAAAATAATAAAAGAACAAGAGCAATATTGCAGAGAAAGAGAGAGAGGAAATTCTTATTGAATTGAGATGATTTACAATGGAATAGAACCCTCTATTTATAGGGAGATGGTGACTTAGCCACCAAGTAATAAACCCTAGAATCTCTCTAAATATAGACATTCACTATAAATAGAACTCTATTTGTAACACTCCCCCTTGAATGTCTATTCAACAGATAATGTGGCTCGTTAAAACCTTAACTAAAAGAAAACCCAATGGAAAAATAAATTCTAGAAAAGGAAAAAGAGTACACATATCTAATAATACGCCCTTTGGTTGCCTCGTTAAAAACCTTGCAAGGAAAACCCAGTTGGACAAAACCTTGTATGGGAAAAAGAGTGCAACGCGCATTAACTCCCCCTGATGAGAGCATCAATTCACATTCTTGAGCCTTCGCATCCCGATCTTGTACACTAGCTTCTTGAAGGTTGACGTTGGTAGAGATTTTGTGAACAAATCAGCCATATTATCACTTGAACGAATCTGTTGCACATTGATATCACCATTCTTTTGAAGATCATGTGTGAAGAATAACTTTGGTGAAATGTGCTTTGTCCTATCTGCTTTTATGAATCCTCCCTTCAATTGAGCTATGCATGCTGCATTATCTTCATACAAAATTGTGGGTAGTTTGTCACACTTCAAACCACATTTGTCTCGAATAAGGTGTATTATAGACCTCAACCACACACACTTTCGACTTGCTTCATGAATAGCAATTATCTCAGCATGATTAGATGAAGTAGCCACAATTGATTGCTTAGTCGATCGCCAAGATATGGCAGTGCCTCCACAGGTAAACACATAACCTGTTTGAGATCGAGCCTTGTATGGGTCGGATAAATATCCAGCATCGGCATAACCAACAAGATCAGGACTACAATTATTGCCATAAAATAAGCCCATATCGGTAGTCCCTTTTAGATACCGCAATATGTGTTTGATTCCATTCCAATGTCTCCTTGTGGGAGCAGAGCTATATCTTGCTAAGACATTAACTGAAAAAGTTATGTCAGGCCTTGTAGTATTGGCAAGATACATTAGTGCACCAATTGCACTAAGATATGGTACTTCAGGACCAAGTAGCTCTTCATTCTCTTCTTGAGGTCGGAATGGATCCTTATTCACATCAAGTGATCGAACAACCATCGGAGTACTTAATGGATATGCTCCATGTGAGCACGTGATTTTTGCCCTAAGTGAATTACTCCCAAAGATTCAAACAAATGATTTTTCTTTCATTATTTTACAATTTTGTGAATTTTGCTATGTTTTTTACTGTTAAATTGTTTGCATTTATTTGTGCATTTTAATTCATATGGAAAATCTAAAAAAAAAACTCAACTTGGCACTTGCATTTTAGGATTTAATTTCATATTTTAGGATCAAATTGCGGTTAAGTTGGCTTTTAGAACAATATA